TATCATGAAGTTCGTGTTCAGACAAGTCTTTTGCACCTTCAGATACTAATTCTGAAATTTGTGTGCGTACTAAGCAACACTGTTTTCCTCGGGAATGTAACCAATCTTGTTTGAATACTCTTCTATCGTAATGAGAATGAGATGTACCTCTAAGACCTTCTTCGTCCCTTCTAAGCGGCTTTTGTCCATCAACACAGGTGATGTATCTGAGGACACCAACAGCATGATCCAAGCATATTATTTTCTTGAAAGTTGTTTTTGAATGGAGTCGTGTACCAGTGCGCTGTAGTTTTTTCTTGTAGGCTAACATTGTAAATTCATTAGTAAAATGTTCTTGTTTCATCGTTTTCTTATTATTCATCTTTTCTCGGTAAATTGTTTTAGAACTTCTTCTTCCCCAGATCGATATGTTTTTCCGTTTAAGATATATGAGCAAATAACTGTAGCTACTTTATTAGGCCTTTTTGACGTCGGAAATAAAAACGTTTCTTGGCATTCTAACGAATCCATTATTGATGAAATTTTCCTTATCGCGTCGATCTATTTCTGCGCATGCACAATATCGATTTTTTGGGATTTGGAAACTATGTAGCCAGTATTATAAAATAAGCATTCCTATTTGATTTTCATTTATTTTAAACCCTTTCTCGATGTTCTAAAGAACATTTGTCGAAGATGACGGCAACTATGTGATCCTCAGATTCTACCGTTTCATTTGATGTATCACACGTAGTTCTAGCTCGTCATCAATTTTAAAATAACGTTTGAATGACAGATTCATTGTAAGCATGTTGCATTACATTACATACTCAAAAATTACAGAAATCGGAGACATGAATTCAAAAAGTGTCAATAAGGCACAACAATTGGCAAATTCATTATTAGTATGTCACGTGACATTTCCCTTTGAAAAATCATGAGAATCGGTAATATGAAAGATAGGGGGATACCGGTAGTAATGATATGATAATTTCAGCTAGATAACAGTTCAAGATAAACATCAACAACAACGATCCGTTAATGCCTTTTTGTCTTTGATGGCAAATATTTCGTTGAAAATGACAGCTAGATGACAGTCCACGCTGAATACCGTTTGTTCCGTTTGAATCAGACCAGTAATATCCGAGAAACACGCTTAGTCCTTTCTGGCTTTCGTTCTGCGCATGATTTTTCTGTTCGACGTTAATCAATGCTGAGTTATCTACATAATGCCGTTTCTCCCGTTTAAATCGGACCAACAATAACAAACATATTAGTTTTAGGCCCTTTTGACCTGTCACTGCGCATGATCTTTTTCTTCAACGTTCATCAATACCATGTTTTATACACAATGCCCTTTTTTCCCGTTTGAATCGGACCAATAGCAATAAAGATACACGCTAGGGCCCTTCTAGCTTTTCGTTCTACGCCTGATTTTTCTACTCGACGTTCATCTATACCGCGTTCTCTACGTAATACCGTTTTTCCCATTTGAATCGGACCACTAATATCCAAGAAACACGCTAAGGGCCTTCTGGCTTTTCGTTCTACTTATGATTCTTCTCTTTACTGTTCATCTATACCGCGTTCTCTACGTAATACCGTTTTTCCCGTTTGAATCGGACCAATAGCAATAAAAATACACGCTAAGGGCCTTCTGGCTTTTCGTTTACCTCGTATATTTGTTATTGTTTACGTCAACGATTGCCGCCATCTTGGATTGTCAACGTTATCTAACGTTATTATATTTACTGATAAGCCAGACTTCGATTCTCGACGCGTGACCTTGATATTTACGTTTTTTGCTATTTTTCACCTTAGTGATTTCTAATGGGATTTAACATGGGGCTTGTTCTCGTTCTCTTGCTGCTTAGATTATTCGTCTGATATTAAAGCATACATTGTAAATTTAATATTTGGGGTTTTTTCAAGAAATACAGAACACTAGTTGTAGGAATTTTGACAATAAATATATGACGACACATTTCTAATGAGCAACCCGGGTATCCCGTTTCGCAACATTCGTGCGTCACAATCATTTTGGGACGTAGGAATACGGTCGTTAGGCAAGTTGTTGTTTTTTGGGCAGAAGTCAACGGAAAAACTTATTCTTATAATCTCAATTTTTACATTCAAAACCCTGCATCAGATAATAGAAAGAATAGTTGTAAAAGAATTGTTAATGTGTTCCTGTTCATGGTAAATTATACGAATACAAAAGTTCCCAGCTAGTGTTAAACCAAAAGATACTAGCTGTGGCCAGTCTCAGAACTGGCACTCGTGATGAGGATGTAGCCAGCAGCATCATCCCCATTTACTAGTAACGACAAAATAAAAAACTTAATAATTCCCACCATGTTCCTACAGTAAATAGTTGATAACAATTTTGAAAAAAATTAACAGAAATCACCAATAAATAATAGTTTTAATGGTGATACCAAGAAAAAATTGTTTAAACTGTACCTAACTCAAAAAACATCTTTGATATCAGAGTTGTTTTTATATCTAAACCGGGGCGTCCAATGTATGTCGTGGCAAAGGCCTATAGACCAATAACTCTGACGTAATTTCTATTGAAAGGATTGAAAAAACTGATTGATCAGCATGTCCGACAAATCACTCTGATAGAGAAACCATTTCATACAAACCAACATGCCTATCAATCTGGAAAATATTGTGAGTCTGCTCTGCATCATCTCGTAACCAAGATAGAGGGGGGACTCAGTAGCCAAGAAAGAGTCCTAGGAGTATATCTTGACATAGAAGGAGCTTTTGATAATACCTTCTTTAAATCAATGGTAGCTGCCACTCGCAAACATGGAATAGAAGACACCATCTGCTGGTGGATAGAAGACATATTACGCGGACGGCAAGTACAGGCACAAATGTTCAGTGAAACCATGCAGGTGAAGATCCACAGGGGATGCCCACAGAATGGCGTCCTTTCTCCTCTACTGTGGAACCTAGTGGGAAATGAACTGCTGAAAACACTGAACGCCCAAGGATATGCCGATGACATAGTCATCCTTATCCGAGGGAAACATCAAACCACAGTCTTTGAACTCATGCAAAGACCTTTAAGGCTGACAGAAATGTGGTGCGTTAGGGAAAACCTCTTGGTAAACTCTGACAAGGCACAACTCATAACCTGCACTGAGAAGTATTTCTACAGCCTCTATGAAAATCATTCTAAACCCCTTGACCTAGTCATAGAGGAAATCTCCTGCAACTGGAACCCACTGGGATATATAAAACATACCAGAATAACACATGAAGTAAATGATTCTATATTAAACATGGGATTAGATCGCATGACACCCCTCCTAACCTTCAACAGACTCTTCCAGGTCAACTGCAACTGAAACGAGGTAAATAAGGAGATAAATACTTGCTTAGCGGTCTTGTATGGTATACGGATGGATCTAAAACTAACAAGGGAACAGGCTTTGGCGTACATGGAGTTAAACCCAAATGCGACATCATCGTCTCACTGGGAAAACATACCACAGGCTGAAATACATGCAATCGAATTGTGTGTACGAGAGAATTTAAGAAGGAACTACAATAAACAAACCATCCTAATTCTCTCCCTTAAAGGCTCTTGATTCAAACAGAATCAAGTCAAAGCTTGTCTGGAACTGCCTTGAAATACTAAATGATCTGGCAACCCTCAACAAGCGTGGGTACCAGTGCACAAAGTTATCCAAGGAAATGAAAAGGCTGATGAACTCGCCAAAAAGGGATCAGATCTACCATTCACAGGACCCGAACCTGTATTTGGGATAAGCAAAACCTCTGCTCAACAGGTGGATAACCACAAAACACCAAATTCACTGACAACAGATAAGAGGGCACAGAATCAGTAAGCTCATGCTAAGGGGACCAAACCCACGCATGACTACTAAGCCGATACAACTCGCAAGGCTTCAGACATCCACCATTGTGGACATTGCTTGCTGAAACACCTTCATGTGATGGGATTACACAATGATCCCACTACATGTAGACTCTGCATGGAAGAGGAAGAAACCTCATACCATGTGATCTTCGACGTTTCATCCTTTTCGGCATAGAACCGGAAATAACGCCCAAGGAACACTTGGTAGGGAACTTAATAAAACTAACCAAAGACGCAGGACTATTCCAAAAATAGTACCTTAATACTGGGAAAGCAGGGGAATACAATAGACCCAAGAGGCCGCAGTGTTCTGAGCCAAACCTAACCCTACCTGCTTATAACCGACAAAGATAAAGATGTAACCAATAATGTATAAACTCTATATTATAGAACTATAAAATATTAGAGATTTTGTAATGATTACAGAAAACTTTTCTGCAATTCGATAGTGCACTAAAAGTAGAAATTTTGCAACAGCGCGGCAGGAAAATTGACAATAATTATCGAGTAAAAATGTGGTAAAATTCTACAAAAAATAATGCGATTAGGAAAATTTACAATTTTGTAATTTTATCTAAGCCGTTTCTAGGGTAAATAAAAATGAAAGGGTAGATTTCCAGTTTTAAAATACACCTCCACACATACCAGTTTCTATCAAGACAAAATTACTTTTTCGTAAAATTTTGTATTCATAGAAACTGTTTTATTAAATATAAGGGCCCAAAAATGGGCCCTTGTAATACACCCAAGCTATATATTATTAAATGTTAAAACTATTTAGGCTTTATTTGTTCATTATTTTGTGGTATTATTTGAGCAATTATTTTTTGTCCTACAAAATACAAATTTAAGAAAAAGCTTAGATACGATAGTACAAGGGTCTTTGTAATATATGGCCGATATACTATATAATTTTTTTCAGGTAATTAAGGATAGTACCCATCATAGGTACTTCTGTGTTAAAAATGTATCACAGAAAACTCTTAAAACGACAGCAAATTCAAAACACCTTAGGCCCAAATTCTGAGTAGTGATCTCTAAAGTTTGTATTTCTGGAAGAATATTTTAATTTTAGAAGTTCCGTTTTTTCAAAACCGATGGACACCCCTTAGACAAACAAAAATGTTTACAAATCAATTCCATATTTTGGGAACTGCGATCATGATCGCCGATCTCGACCATTAATTGGTTCATCTTCAGATTCTTCTTCTCTCAGAAGCGGGCTACCATCAGTAATTTTCGATCTGCTTCCTCTTTGGCTACCCTTGTGGTGGTTTATGGGAAAATTAGGGACGAAATTTCCACAAGGGGTGCAAGGGGCTGAACGGGAGAGCCAGCCTTTAGAAAAAACTGAAAATAAAAATATTTTTTTATGGAAAGATATTTCAAATTGTTAAAAGTTTACCATTTGCAATACTCTTTGGCTTAGTAGGGGTCTCATCACAGAGAGGCATATATAGTGTCTTCGATTTAACCTTGTGAAAGTAAGTTCTCGCGAGTTTTTGGTCGCATTGTAGAGGTGGAACGGGGCTTTTCTGTTGAGGTAATTGCTGGATTTTGTCCAACAATTCACGCATTTCAACAGTTGGACTAGTAGCGCGAGGAGGTGATCCAGGAGAACCCATATTGGCTAGGCTACTTATATCTGATCCTAAAAGAAAATATAGTTTGCATAATAACTTTCATATCTTGTAATAAATTTATAAATATACATTACTCTGTTAGTAATGTTATAGACAAATAAGGTGTGAATAAGGTGTAAACGTAGTAACCTAGTTAAAAGTGTATACAAATCGCTCTTCCTAAAAGATCAAAATTTGTTGGTAATAAAGTTCTTAAATAATTCTAAATTTGACTTGCTTCTAATAGTAACTACAACAGATGTGATTCCTAAACTGTGAGTAAAAACAATCAGTATTTTGGAAAATATTTGGAAATTAATTATATGAAACATACAAAGGAGGCCGTGTTCAAATGCTGCTACTAGTTTTTGTGTATGGCGATTAAGATTTTGAAATTGCTAAACTAACAGCCGGTTGCAAGGAGGATCGTTAAATATTTATAGACTCATTAGCACTAATGATCCACTAAAAATGCATTCCGATCCTCGATAGCTATTGAACATCGTAAATCTGACAACACGGTGCGTTTTTCGCGATATAACTAATGATATATATCGTTATAAAGATTGCTTACCCATATTTAAATAGGACTACGAAAAGCGCCTTTTGAAGTGTTCACTGAATAAAATCGTTCTGGCCCAAACGTGTTTTAAAATAAAATTTTGGCATTTGAATATTTAGAAACAAAAAACAGAATGACCTATTTTACTTCAAAACACGATATAATGTAAGGTGTTTTAAGCACAAATGTTTTCGTGTTGTAATGTTGAATACACATCGTCAAATAATATTAAGAGATTTAAACAATTTTATATCAAGGAAACAGTAACAAAACATAGAAAAACACATAAAATCATAAACTGGGACATATTGTGAATATCTGAGCCATGAAACATAAAAAAACACTGATTAATCTAATAAAAATTTATTATCAATTATAGCGACCAAGTTTTTTTGATTACTAAATAAAATTAATTTTATAAATTGCTGCCATCTTATAAGTAGGACCACATGATATTTTTTGTCAAAATAGACAGTCTAATTTCATAGCAACATCCTACATTAGTTTCAATTATCAATATAAACTATCTGTATCTGTAAGGTGAGGAAGGTGGATACTTCCACAGCATTTAGGCCGACTGTGATATAAAACCTGCATCTGAGAGATGTCTAGAGACACCTGCATCTTCATAGCTCATAAAAGTCCTGCAGGTTATCAACCCGCCAAAAACCTGCTAGTTGACTCTGAGGGGGGCAGGGTTGCTTGTAGTTTAGCTATTGCTTTGTAGCTTAAATTGCTTACTTGTTTGCTTGTCTTCTTGTAGGTAACTCTTTCTGCATACCAATGTAGAAATACAATCATCGAGTGTCTGCCGCCTCGTGGCACCGCTGGATATGTTAATATTGCTGCTCTATGAACAGCTCTATTAACTAACTAAATGGCACTCCATCAATAACCCAAGCTAAGGTGTAAGGCAACGTGCTGAAGGCTGAATGGCCGTTGGAAAAGCGGTTACAAACGTTCCTCTGGGGACACTTACCCGGTCATGCGAGCCTCTGATCGGGTGGACATTTATTTCCCTAGCTACTCGTGTGACCAATATGGATCAAACAAACCAAACAGAACTAACAACCGCGGGCAGGGAACTCCCAGAAAGAGAAAACCTTCCACACCAAATACCAACAGAGGTAATGGAAACCGAAGCGATTCCAGAAGAATTGACTTCGTCTCCATCAACCTCTGGACAACGCCCTAAGGCGGAACAACCTTCGGAGGCAAGTGGCAATTCCACAAACCCCAAGGAAGAAACTAGCCTGAAACGTATTGCCTCAAAACTAAACAGGACTCACCTGGAGCCGCATGAGCGAGTCTCAGGCGCCAAAAGAGGAAATTGGCTATTCAAAAGGCTAAGGCTAAAGGTAAACCAATCAGACCCAGAGCTGAGAGAAGGACGGAGAAGAAAGGAGCCAACCGAACTCCAAATCAAACTCCCCAATTCAAACGGGGCTGCCTCCAAAGTGGTAAGGGGGTCACCCCAAGAAGTCTAAAATTGGGTCTGATAGAGCAAGGGCAACCACATCTGCAGCGCAAGCGGTAGAAGGTGGCTTGTACTATAAAGAGGCACCCATGAAAATGGCGGTAGTGCCTAAAGAATTTCCCAAAGAAAAACTGACTGAGGAGCAAGCGAATCAGACTCAGGAAAAACTGATGGGAGAAATTTTGAAGAGTGGGGAGGGATCAGAACTACAGTTAAAGAAGGGATAATTCAATAACAGAGCTCTCTTCTTGATCTGTGCTAATGAGACCGCTAAAACCTGGCTCTCTGAAATAATCCCCCAGCTCCAACCATGGCAGGGAGCACAACTTATGGTGGGATCCTCTAGCGAGATCGTCTGGATCAACAAAGTTGTGGCTTGGATACCCAAACCCATGCAGAACATGGAAACAACCAAGGTACTTGCATTCCTCAAAACCCAAAACCAAGGGCTCCAAACGGAACAGTGGCAAGTCATTCACAGGCAAGTGGAAGACAACGGTCAAACCATTGTACTGTTGATTGACGATGACTCTCTGAAGGCTTTAGAAAACCTACAATTAAAACCCTATCTGGGCCTAACTCAGGCAATCTTCAGAGTGCAAAGGGAGAGGAAGAAAGAACCTTCAGATGCTCAGAATAGTGCAAGCTAATCTAAGACACTGCAAGGCCGCCTCCGCAACCCTTGCACGTACCATTATCAGGGAGGACATAGACGTAGCCCTAATACAAGAACCCTGGATCTACAAAGGGCATGTGATGGGGCTCGGACAAACCAAAGGTAAGTTAATATACAATACCCAATGTGGAAACACTAGGGCCTGTATATACATACGAAATGATCTAGACATACTCAACTTACATGACTTCTGTTTTAGAGACCTAGTAGCAGTCAGGATGGAAATAAACATAGCAGGCAACAATATGCCTCTCATTTTAACCTATGCATACCTTCCCTATGACTCGCCCAGCCCTCCACCAACAGATGAGCTGAGGGATTTAGTAGATACCTGTCAAGCCGAAAACCTGCAGGTACTCATTGCTGCTGACGCAAATTCACACCATATAACATAGGACAACAACAAAAGAGGTGAGTATTGGAATTAATTCTAACCACTAACCTAGAAATATTGAATCGTGGAAAGGAACCTACTTCTGTAATCAGTAGACGGAGCGAGGTTATTGATAATACCCTTGGTTCTTCCTTCGTTTCAAATCACATTGGCAAGTGGTACGTGTCTAGAGAGCCTTCGATCTCAGACCATTGGCATATTCTCATGGAAATCGACAACGTCGATAAACCAGGAGATGTATACCGAAACCCACATAAAACCGATTGGTTTGGATACGGAGTGGAGCTGGGGGCAGTGTTAAAAACCATTAAAATAACTCCTAATACTAAAAATGATATAGATGAAGTTGCAGAACAACTACAGGAGGCAATTATAACATCATATCACAATAACTGCTCGTTAAAGAACAGGAAAACTTCTAGGGAGGTGAGCTGGTGGAACACCGAACTCGCCAAACTCAGAAGGAAAACACGTAAACTTTTTAGGGTAAGACTAAAAAGACGAATGAGTGGGGGGAATACACCGAAACACTCACAGAGTCTAACAAAACTCTTAGGAAATCTAAGAGAGATTCATGGAGAACATTCTGTCAGGAAATTGAAAATACAACTGAAGGATGCAGACTCCACCGCATTCTAGAAAAAGATAACTATAAAACACCAAATTCATTGGCAACAGATAAGAGGGCACATAATCAGTAAGCTCATGCTAAGGGGACCAAACCCACGCATGGCTACTGAGGCACTACAACTTGCAAGGCCTCAGATATCAACCATTGTGGGATTACTAACGGGGCACTGCTTACTGAAACACCTTCATGTAATGGGATTACACAATGATCCCACTACGTGTAGACTTTGCATGGAAGACGAAGAAACCTCATACCATGTGATAAAATGTTCATTTAAATCTGTAAAAATCTTAATGACAAGAAAACACTATACACAGCTGGGCAGTAGAAGTATACTTAAAATTGTACTCAAAGTACTCTCTAAAAATTGCGAAAGCACTTATTTGTTTTAAGTATTATTCATATGAATGAGTATTTATACTCAGATACTTATTATGAGTATTTTGCGAAGCTATTCATTGTGAATTACTCATGAGTGCTTTAATGCAATACTCTGCCGAATTAAAGAATGCATTAGGTACCTGTGAGGTGAGACTTTAAATGTCCATTGAATTGGCGAGTAAGAAAATAAAAGATCTGGAGAATGTAAATGTTTACTTGAAAAAAAAAGAGTTGAAGACTTGGAAAGACTTCAGAAGAAAAATAACATAATTATTTTTGGAGTTAATAGACCATTTACATTAATAAAAAAATTAATCGACATTAATTTAGTTGAAGCTGAGGTAGGTAATTTCATCCCACTTGGAAAGAAGGCAGAGGCTCCTTTAGAAATCGAATTCACTAATTTTATTAAAAAGAAAGCAATTTTGAAAAATTTCAAAAAACTAAAAAAATAGTGGATTTTCAATTGCAGAAGATCTGACAAATATCCAAAGAGCTGAATATAAACAACTGAAAGAACATCTGTTAAATTTGAAACAAAAAGGTAAAGAGTGCGTGATACGAGACAATACATTGGTTCTAGGGAATAATACTTTTTCAATTGAAGAGTTAGATCATCAAGAATTTGCCACGCTAAATAGTGCTTCTTCGATCCTTAATTGTCTTTAATCTCCAAGCATCTAGCAGCACACAACAAACTTCAGACCAACTTGTCATACCACTGAAAAACCTGAATGTGAAAAATTATGGGCGTAATTCCAGTAAAGCTGAACAAGTAGTCGAAATAAAGAAGATATTGAGATGCAATTCTCTAAGATCATAAAATTAAATCTATATAATTAATTTTTTTATTGTTACATTTAAGTGGCTTTGTTTTTTATTTACAATGGCCTTCTGTTTAGGACAATTAAATGTTTGTTCACTGTTACCTAAAATTAACT